TCAATCCTTTTGCCCTCTTGCTCTTCATGCGCGATGATGGTCTTCAACAGACTGTCGAGGTGCTCGTCTCCCGAGTCATCGTGTTTGTCGAACTTATCAAAGCCTTTTGACAGGTCGGCCCCCAGTTCAGGGGGGTAATACCACTGCAACGACGAATCGTCTAGGTGGAACTCATGCTTGCTATCATAAGAAAAGCAGGCTATCTCCTACTGAAGAATCAGTCGGATGCCCCAAACCTCGACATGGCATGAATGGAAAAGTAAACAGAGGGTGCCGTATTTACGACATTGCTCACCTTTGGTCTTTTCACAGGCTCGCTCACACCAGCAAAGCGGCCGATTGGTTGTATATTAAAAGTGCCCGGCATTGTGACGAAGGGCTTCAGGTTCCATTTCAGGCCCAACAAGTTACCATGTGGTGGCCCAGAGGTGCGACAAATTCCAATGTTTCTCAAGAGACGCCTGTTCATGAAACCTTCCCAAGCTGCCTTTATGGGATACCTGTTATACGTAGGTAGGTAGTTGACTTTGCGGTGCTCTGCCTTCACGGTTGTATATGGTCTGAAATGTAGGTATACAATAAGGTACAGTAGGTCATGTCAGAGGGTTGATTTAATTGGTAGTGATGTAGCTACAATGGACTGCTTATGTAGTATGCAGGCTGGAGGCAGGCTAGCTCTCCGGCTCTAACTTTCTATCTATAGGGCAGTAATTTACCCCACGAACCCACCCGCAAAGCTAAAGTCAGGTACATACATACATACATACACGCATAGTCTACATGCCTAATGTTAGCGGTTACCGTAGCAAACGAACCTCTATCATGAACATCAACACCGAAACCTCGAATCTACTATCACGAGCTACCCTGAGCAGTGCCTGAAGCGCGCCATTCGAATATCCACCCGTATCAACTAGTGAATACACTTAACAATCATTCTTTACAACAGTCGATTTGAAACCCTAAAGACTTACGAGCCGATAGAAATATCAGAAAGACCAGAAAGATATAAGAAACAACCAGTAGTGATACAGATGTCCGACCGGCCACCCCCGCAAGTCATCCGCCCAGGCCCCGTCCGGGGAGCCCGCGCGGCGGCAGCGGCGGCAGCGAACACAGCCGGGGTGCGTCGCAACCTGTTCCAGAGCCAGCTGATGAGCCGGCGGCACCCGACGCCGCCTCTCACCAGCAACAATCACGGGACTGCGACCGCGACGACGGGGGCGGCAGCAGGAGGAGGCGCAAGGACGGGATCTCAGTCGTCGGGCTCGGGCGAGACGCTGCGGCTGGACGCGTCGGTCGACGTGCTGTCGGATGACGCGGGGTCGTCGTCGGAGATCGTGGTGCGCGACCGGAACGGCGAGTTCGAGGTGGGCGACCCGCCGACGCCGCCGCTGCTGCTGGACGACCCGGGCGCCGAGGAGGCGGGAGGCGGGGCGCTGGATGATGCGCTGGAGAACGAGCGTGAGAGCCACACTTACCCTCCTCCTTATATATGTGTCTGTATTACTGTCGGGAGAAGAATGGCTTACAAATACGCTATATAGGAGAAAGACATAGGCTGGCTGAGGCTGTCAGGCACTACCAGATCAGCCATAGCCAGGCGCACAGGCACCCAGAAGAAGGTAGGCCATGCAAAGAAGCCGCGCTTCAAGCGTTCATCGTAAGTTTGTTCTAGATCGGAAGCCGAACTAATTCATGCAAGCAGAGGTCCTGGAAATACTGAGAGCCAGCATGAGGGCTCAAGTAGCTGCATTAGCTGAGGACAATTGGATGTTCGAGGCGGAAGATCAGCTGCGGCCGTGAGAACATAAAAGACGAAGATGAGAAAGATGAAAAAAGAATAAGCCTACAGCAACCCCGAAGCAGCAGGCGCTTTTATCCCGTCACTTCTCTTTCAGTGGGTACGTAGAATAGCTACTCATTTGATTTCGCTGAATTTGCAGCTGTTCTTTTCTAAGGCTGCAGCAGAACCTAGCAGAAGCAACTCTGTGGCATCTACTCTCACTTGCTGTTCGTCGCCAGACCTTAGCCGCCGCCCTCGACTACCATCACCTAGCTAACTAGCTGTCAACTAGTTAGCTGTTTCTCTTTAGCTGTTGCCACAGCTGCTCAGCTACCACCTGTCTGACGAACCTGAAGAGACTGGCGAAACCTTCTGAACAATCAGTAGGTGATAGCACCGGACAGCACCCTGAAGCGAAAACAGAGCTTCAGTCCACTACTTTGTATGGAGCCTTCGTAGATCTGCAATACCCCATTGTCAAGTTCTGCAGTGATCCATCATTGCAGCTGCCATCAACACCATCATCTAGACTACCAAGCTACCAAGGTCTGCTTAATCGAAGTTATTCGAACCTTTACGACGGTGTTGCTTTAAGCTACTTCAGGAGAAGTGATAATAGCATCGTCGCTAAGCCCCTGCTCAAATAGCGATATTGAGCAGTGGAGAAAAAAAGAAGGGGGGGAAAATCCCTTCGCCATGATGTTATGGATCTCAGGAAGTGGGCAACGGGAACAGAATAATTAGGGGCAGTAGGGGCAGAAAGAAAGCATAGACAATTAGACAGACGTCCTTGGGAATCTGTTCCATCAGAGTGTATCTATACAGCTTTGCAGATAGATGCTGTCCTTCTTTTATTCCGTCGATCAACAGAACTCGGCATCCCTTAAGAAAGTTTATTGCATGACTTACGCAATAATCGAGATGGGAACAGACTGGACTAGAACAGAGCTTACTAGTTGCGTGCCATGAACGTAGCGTCAGTTTCTCTAAAAAGCAGGCGGAAGTTTGGCAGCTGTGATATCAACTTAACGGCAACTAGGCGATGACAGCTACATGCTGGGCAGATGAGAGCAGGTGGATGACTGCAGGTTTAGCAAAGCTCATTCAGTTCTGGCATGTCTAGGTATCTCTACGCAGGAAGAGCAGACAGGATCCGCGTCTGGTCTGATCTGCTTTGCTCTGATCTAGTCTAGACCCTCCGCTGCCGGCATCGCCGCCGAGCTCTGCAGGGCCGGCTTCCTACCTCCACCACCACCACCACTGCTCGCAGGAGCGCCGCCGCCGCCGCCGAAGAAGCCGCTCATCAGGTCCATCAGGGGGTTCATGGGGCGCGGCTTGGTGATGCCGAAGTACATCTCGGCGATCATGTCGAGGGGCTCGCCCCAGGCGGCCTCGACCTCGCGCAGGTTGGCGGCGTACTTGGTGGCGAGCTGGCGGTACAGGTCGGCGGCGCCGCGCTGGACGGCGAGCAGCAGCAGGCCGAGGAAGTTGAGCAGCGGGATGGTGGGGAAGACGCGGACGTCGGCCGTCGTGCTGCTGACCTGCTGCGCGCTGCCGCCGAGCTGGTCCGCCTTGTCCCGGACCAGCGCGTCCGTGAAGATCCGGTAGCACGCGTTGGCCGCCCGCAGGTTGGCCGTCAGCAGGTACGGCAGCACCGCCCGCCCCGCGTACAGCGCCGCCGTGTGCGCCTCGTCCTCCTGGAACCACTCGTACTCGAGCTCGGCCAGCACCTTGGCCGAGTCCTTGGTGCCCAGCACGAGGTGCCGCTCCGCGTCGTAGGCCTCGCGCTCCTCCGCGTAGATGGACCCCGCCACGTGGTGGAGCTCCGGGTCGCCGGCCGGGTACTCGCCGTATTTAGAGGACCACCTGCCGAGCCGTCCGTTGTTAGTCTGGAGTTCATTTACTTTTGCTAGACAGGCAGAAGCAGCGAGCAGAATATGATTCAGTGTGAAGGGCATTCTTCTTCCCAAGCCACCCCCTCCCCCGCAAATGGAAAATAAAGACTCACGATATTATCTCCCCGATGAACTTCTTCCTCGTGGGCTCCCCCGCATCGAACAGCCGCAGGCACGTTAGCAGCCTGCCCTTGCTCGTCGAGTCGGGCTTCAGCTCGGCCTGCTTGTACGTATCGGCCAGCAGGACGCACAGGTCGCCGCCGCTGCCGCCCTGCCCGGCCCGGAGGAGCGACTGGGCGACGTTGTAGAGGATGTCGATGGCTGCGGGCCAGTTCGCCGCCTTGATGTACCGGGCGGCCACGACACGGGTCTGCTGCTGCGCCTCGTAGAATTGGCCCTCGCTGATCCGCTGCTGCAGCCGGGCGATGATCCTTTCGATCTTGTCGCCCTTGGTGGTGGTGGCACTCATGCTGTGTATTGGGTTGACTTTTAGAGAGAAGTATTCTTGGCCTTGCGTGTCCGTAGGGAGGTAGGAGATACTTTGTTGGTTGGTTGGCTGGCTGAGTTGGTCGGAGGGGGATAATTGAGGTTGTCGGGGGGTGCGAAGTAAACGTCGGGTGGGGTTGGAGAGAAGGGGGAGAGGGCGTGAGGGAGGAGCAACAACCGACACTCCGTTCTAGAAGGAGCAAGCGTATAACTACAGGTAGTTCTGCTATGGCGTGTCGCGCGATAAGTGTAAGATCTGAATAGTGAGAAATCTTAATGATTAAGGCACTGCTTATTCTACTGTATAGGATCGGAATTCCATGACTATTCGGATCGAAGTCAATAAGCGATATCCTGTGCCTGTGATGCAATACTTTCCTTCCCACCACGTAGGCTCCAGGGCTGTTGGTGGGGTGTAGGTACCTACGTACCTGGGTAGGGTTATGTAATCATCGAGCAGCTCGCGGTGTGTTTGGTGGTCAAAGCTTGCGGGAGCTCCCACCGCGAGACCCAGTTATCTTAAGCTTATTTGGAAACCTTATGTAATCACGGCACTAGCCAGCCAGATTGACATGTGAAATATATCAAGTTGGTATTGCTGGTAGTATAGACATTTCGACGTTGCAGAATTCCAGTTGCGCAACCCTTGAATGCACAAAACCAATTGTCTTTGGATTGTACCTACGTGTGTGGCACTAGCCTATGTCGCTTGGGTCCACTTTGAAGGGAGTCCTACGCCCCACCGTGGCTAGACATCGGGTGATCTCCTCCAGCTCACCCCTAGACGGATATCCGGCTTTCTATATTCATCTTAAAGCTGTATCTTTCATCAAGCACCATTGGTGTAGCGGTAGCATCTGCGCTTCCCAAGCGATTTGAAACATAGTTTAAAGTCCTGAAGTAGCGCAGGAGCCGAGTTCGACCCTCGGGTGGTGCATGGATTTCTTCCCTTCTTTTTTGGATGATTTTTTTTCCTTCACTGAATTCGAATTTACTTGGCAAGCTCGAATATGTATAGGGTTAGTCCTCTTGCCTTCTGATGTGAAATATGTTGTCCACGTTTGCAGATTCTACTACTAGAATTGTCGCAGTGGTTATGGTTTGCAGGCTTAGGTAGCGTGAGGGAAATAGCTGATCAGGACAAGCTTAACTTGGCTAAGTGAGCCAAGCTGACTGGTGCCTCCGTCATGTAGAGACAAACATAGATAGAAATGGTTTGCCAGATACGTCTTTATTTCCAGGTTATTTCTATGCTGGAGAAAATCAAGTGTGGTCGGTAGAGGTTGTATCTCAGAAATGACAGTTCCTATTTAGGACTCGACAAGCTCGAGGCGGGGTCATTGTGAGTTAATGACCGCTGCTTTGGATGACATACTCCGTAGTAGGCTAGGGATAACCTACAGATACGCGTATCTGCAGTGCAGGGACTGGTTGGTATCTTTGTATAATAGGATTCTTGGCATGCTTCATATATATATTTTTGTATGAAGTTCCCGGGGTTTGAGCATCTTTATCTTCATTCGAGAAGCGTTCTTCTTTATTCAATAGATTGGTTCTACTCAAACTTACAAATATCAAATATAGCATCAACATGATGCCAAGTCGTCTCTCAGTATCGTTACGCAGAGCGGCGGGCAGACCCCACATGCCACTACACTTAATGCTAGCTCAACCACGCTCATTACAGCTTGCCAAGAACCTCATACACTCTTCTTTCGCAACTTGCCAACCACGCCTCCGGGAGCAAATGAGCAATCATGACGAGAAACCTCACAAGAATCCCGAGATGCCACGAATCAGCTTCAAGGACCTCGGCATGACTCGTGGCGTGAAGACGGTTGTGTATGTGTTGATAGGGATATTCGGAACCATAGAGACTACATTCTGGATTCAAGCGACATGGCGTTGGTACAAAGGTGGAGAGGAAGAAGAACCCCGGACATAGGGGTTAGATCTACATCGCTTTCAAGGGGGAAAGGGGGGGGGTGGGGGGGTGGTCTAGAAGGGATATAGCGTATATTCCATCACGTTGGAAGCATCCCCATTCAGTTCTACAAGTCATGAGCTCCTCAACCACTAATGGATAACAAGTACTTTTTCCACTTTGCCCATACGTCGAATTCCTTTTCATTGACCACATAGAGTGAGTGCCTGTCTACCTAAGCAGAGCGTTGGCTTAGTGAGCATGGCTAGAAATACGGAAGTTACCAAGTTGCTAGAACGTTTGCACTACCATGTAGCAACACGAAGCTAATGATCGAACCAACATCCCTGCGAAGCAATCGAATGGCTTGTAAATATCTACTAGCTAGCTATTGTGTTGTACTGCGCAAGATGTATGAGATGAGACCAGAACACCAGTCAGTAAGTGTTGATTTAGGCCTAAATGCTACCGGCATTAGTGGGTCAAACTAGTTACAGATTGCGTGTGGTCAGGGCGTCGCAAGCCCAATCGGAACGTTCTCCTTTTCCTTCCTCGTTTTTCTCTCTTCAGGAACTCCAAACTCAATCTGTCCAGACTTGGCACGCGACATTGGCGATAAGGCGCCGATCAGCTAGCTACCTATAGTTATAATTCATCGACGGAGCAGCCGGAGTTTCTGAACACGTCGTCGCTGCTTCCCAATTGGACCCCGCTGGCCCCGGAAAGCATTGTCATTAACTAGGACCACCCGCCTCATTTACATATATCACGTTGTTCGAAAGAAAACTGGAAAGCCTCTTCGAGGCAACGTCGACCACGGCCTGGCTTGGTAGCAAGAGCCTATGTCGCAGCTGGCCATCCGATTCCCCTAGTCTCCCCCATTCTCCAACATCGAATAGGACAGAATGGGGTTTTTCGCAACGCTCGCCGGCTATGCCGCGCCGATATTCTTGATTTTGTCACCGGTCCTGACCTACTCCGACCAGGCCATCTCGATGTATCGCGTAAGATCGAGTGCGGGCTTCTCTCTCGACATACCCTTGATCATGCTCGTCGCATGCATTTGCAGGTTCGTCATGAGCCCCCCGCCCCTTCTATTCAGAGCCTGTAATGTATAGGTATTCGACACATTACTGACATCCAGGTAAACAGGGTCTTTTACTACCCCGGCTCTCGATACGATACGGCATTGCTCGTGCAGGCATTCTGCAACATATTGGTCCAAGCCGCGTTATTGAAAGTCGCTCTCGACTACCGCCCCTCGCCGTCGTCCAAAGGTGGCGAGGCTGCGACTCCCTTCGCGGGTGCGCAGGATGGCCTGTCAGGTGTTCCGAGGCCTTACAATTTCTGGAGGTGGCGCTCATCAAAGCCGTATGGTTTCCTACTTTTTCCATGGGTCAATCTCATCCCAGCTAACATAGCCATGTAGTTACTGGAATTTCCTCGCCTATCTATCCATCGTCCTCCTCGTGTTCGAACTGACCCTATCCCCCTTCGAAACGATCTACTCGGGTTATTCCGAACTCATAGGCTGTATCGGACTGGGCATTGAAGCGACGCTGCCTATCCCACAGCTGCTGGCGAATTCGCGGTCGCGATCCTGCAAAGGCTTCCGGTTTTCTCTCCTGGCCAGCTGGCTGATTGGGGATGCCATGAAGATGTATTGGTTCTTCACATCGGAGACGGAGATACCCTGGTCATTCAAGATATGCGGCATGTTCCAGTTTTTCTGCGATCTGATGCTTGGAGTGCAGTACCTGGTGTATGGCGACGGTCCGACTGTAGCAGTACCGCAATCATCTTGGCCATATGCTGGCGTCACACCTCACGTAGCTAGAGTTTCGAATGGTCGGTCAACATCGTTAGAAAGCATAAGGCCTGTTAGTGAGAAGGCATTCTGAATATAGCACTATCAATAGAAGAATTAGAACAGAAAGAAGTAATACCTAAGATCAGAATGACATGGGTGTCTATGGGTGTCTGAGTGCCTATGAGTGCTTATGAGTGCCTACTATATATACACAATCTAAGTCAGGCTGATGTCCAATTTTCTGGCAGTCTGTCGGGTCCTCTTGCAGAACATTGGAGCCAATGCTTTCCTACTATATAGTAAAGTATTTTGTTGTTCCATTGGAAAGATGAAAGCTTGGGTGAGGCTTGAGGCAATGCATCAGGCTGTTTTAGTTCGTTTATGTTGTTCCTATCCGTGGACCTATCATGTTGTTCTGCAGTATGACATATTTACAGAACCACTTGGATCGAATGCTACAGCCCACTTAGGCATTCTTGGCGCCGATGATTGGTTAAAGATCTCCCACCCATTTTCAGCCATCGTGTATGGTCGTGCATTTCCCGTTCCGTCGCGTGAACAAGATACAATCCACCGTCATTAACCCCTGACCAGAATAGTATCATACACAATCCTATCCATGAATAAAATCCTTCTAGAATATAGTGGGACTCAGGAGGCTTGAGACACTCCGGACTTGGCTCTTTTGGGATAAGCATCATCTACGAACCATCGATCAGCCATATTACTGGAAGTCGCAAACTCACAATCATCGACTACTCTTCACTTGAGTTTTGAAGACGTTGGGTTGATCTCTGCTTGAAACACCGACCACCTTGACGTGCGCCGAGGTTCTCTGTAAAATCTCTTCACCATGGTCTTTTTCCATGCTTCATATCGGTAGCATACGCACCTAGCTGGCCAGCTCAACTCCACTATCATTACTGTTGTTGCTGAACCTCAACCCAGTTCTATGGAGATACGTCCTATCAACAACCATCTGCTGTTGCTCTGACCATCATCACTGTGCGTCAAGTTGTGTGTAGGCTTCTGCCTTCACTTGCCCACGAAGATTGTGCTATGCTTCAATGATATCGTACCTCAGCTAACCATATATCATTAGTTGTGATAGCGTCTACACTATAACTGCACTTATAACCAATCACCCCTGGTAGGTTGTCTGGTTGTCTCTAGACACAACCACGCGGTTCTAGAGTTGCCTTGCTCCCGCCTGGTTCACGGTATCATTGACGCTGTATGGGAAAGAGGCGCCGTACCAATTTCTTCTTAGTAAGTACCCATCAGATACTCGTTATTCCAGTTTCTGGTAGAGTACTGGTACATGGACACTCCACGGCCCCTTCCAATTTCTGAAGATATTCACTAGATCCAAGAATTCTTCCTCATTGCTTAGGTATGGATCATATCAAAAACCGAAGACCTCCTGTTAGTTCTTTAACGGTATCTGCATATGGTTGTTGTCCCGAGTGGCATCCCGAGTGGCACGCCCCCTCCTAATTGTTGTAAAGGGGTCCGCTTACAGTTGTCGCCCTGGAGACCTGGAGTCACCATACCGGAAACACGCGGGCACCTTCTCATAAACCAACTGCACTGCACCAGTTCATCACTTTCGGCAGCTGTACCTTACTGACTCTGCCCCAGTGATTGCCTAGCAGCCTAGGTACCTTTCAGCAGACCCAAACTGACCCTATGGTTCCTAGGTAAATCAACCTTCCACGACACAACCATCAACAATCAAGGTAGTCTTCTCCCATCCATCCAATGTCAACTTGATATCTTCTACTCACGTACACAAGGAATTCTCTGGTTGATTACCACGTGTACCTTCTCTGCCCTATTGATCCTTCTCTTCTACATTCAAGGGCATCTAACCTCACCATCACTCCAGCAGCTATCTCATCCCCCTCTAGATTATTCCATCCCATAACACTACTTCCCTCCTAATCAACCCAGAGTACATCCTGGACTTTCATCTACAACCAAGTAAGTTGACTCCTGCCACTATCATAGACTGCCGAATTAGGTGATCCATTCACAGTCTACCACCATCCTTACTTCTCCCTCTCATCCCATACAATTGCGTAACTGCGACTTTATTCAAGAACATATCCGAGTTCGGTCCTTCCTGAGATTATTTACTCCAGAACCTACATAACCTGGTAACAACCTATGTTAAGCTTCGTTAAATCTCTTACCAGCCTTC